AGTTGGGATGTTCTGCAAGTCGGCTACAACCAGTAGCTGGTTTATCAGAAACTGCAGATCGACCTCCACCGCGATCCACAATTTCAAGCTGTGAAGTTTGTGATATTCCAAAAAACCGTACTGTCCAAAGAACAATATGACCCTTCTATGCAGGTCTGGGCATGTCTGTATAAGGGTTTCGATCACTTCAAGAAACGACCTTGTCCTAATGTAAGGATCTTTCACCGCCAGGCGCGGATAAAACACTCCAAAAAGAAGCGACTCGAAGGCTGTGGTGTGTTGGATGATATGCATTTGGTGCCCCATCAGCTCAAACGACAGATCGGACCTTTTGGCGACATGTGCCCCTGCACCAAAATCAACCATACCTCGGATTATCCTGACTGGCAGTTCGGCCCTTGTCATGAATATAGTTGCGAGTGCCAGCTCGTGAAGGCTGTCAGTAGCAAGTTCCGGTGAGGGAGTCGGTATAAAAGAAGAAATGACAAAGTCGTCGCAGCTGGTAAGATTATATGCTGCGACACATGGAAAGGATCGAGTGAGCTCCCACCCTCCTTCGCGATTATCCAGAGCACCATTTTCATAGAGGTCCCTGATTGTTCTGAGTATCTCCAGCATAGCGTCTGGACTCAATCCCCTGTTACTCAGTCGATTGCAGTCAGTAAGAGCGTCAAGGCATTCAGACATGACCTCGAGCTCACGTTAGTACACGTTCACCAGATTGAGCCGACTTTTGAGCAATTTTAGCTCTGTATCCACCCACGTTGTCTCATTTGACTTGTAATTCACAATGGATTGGCCAGCTTCTGTATCAATCAAGAAGTCGTGAGCTGTGCGGTGAATGAACAAGACTGGTCGTGTAAGTGGATAGATCGCGTCACAGAAACCGGCTCCTTTATTGTGAAGAACAGAGTGTCGGCCGACTTGTAGCATACCAGCGCATCGGGTCTGTATATCGCCTTCTGTCGCAGCGCACAGGGAATTCAATTCAGACAGTGTCTTCTCATTACCTTTGGGTGGGAAGATTAAACGGTCTTCTGCCCTTATTGCCAGTGATAGTTGAGCTAGATTGGGATCTGGAATATGGTAGAAACGCCCATCCTTTCGGTGCAGATCCGTGTTCCAACCGTTAGCCATGACGAAGCGGAAGTATTTTGCAGCGGTCTCGCGGTATACTCGATTTCTCCCATTTAGTCTCTCCCACATTGTCTGATAAAGAGCTTCAAGCTCATCTGGGAGTTCTTCAAGTCTTTGGGAAAGGGTTTCCTGATCATCACCGTTCATAATTCTATTGATGACGCTTTTCGTAGCAAGAGCAAGCCAGAGGAAAACCCTTTGCGCTTTATGCAAAAGTCTTCTTGTAAACCATTTAAGAGGTAAGTCGGCCGACTGGTCTTGTGGCAATCTTTCGAATTCCTAGCGTATATAGACGACCATCTCAGGTTTGGTGAGGTCTTCTAGTCGTAGGTTCTGTACTCCAATACTTTCAAGCCTTTTGAATAACTCTGTTTCAGGTCTGCTTGATACACAGACTTTCACTCGCTGACATATTGTGAGTTTTTGAACGACACTGAGTAGTGCCCGGTATCCATCCTTGTTCGATATCTCGTCAAGGCCATCGATGAAAATGCATGTTGAATGAGCGCCAGCATCCAAAATGGACAAGAGGATTTCCTCGGCTTCGTTAGACGACCATTCCTTATAAAAGTCTTTTTCTTGGGAGAATTTAAACTTCTTCAGTACTTCGTTGATGGCATCGACATCTTCTAATAGGAGGTCGTGAAGCAAAGAACACAAAAGGCCTTTAATGCTGTTTTGAGGCTCACTTCCGATCTTCCAGAAGAAATGTGACAGAAGTTTAGTGTTTGGTTGCCAGGAGCCAAGCAAACGCTTCGTGTTGTCGCTGTTAATGACGAATTTGATCAACGTGCTTTTCCCTGATCCTGGCTTTCCTCGGATCCAAAATAATTTGTCATCTGACTGCAGCCAGGTACTGAAACCTTCCCATATATGATCAATCTCATCGACCTCCTCTTCAAATCTTGCCTTCTCTCTTTCATCGTCGCTTCCGTCATTATATTCTTGTTCGTATTCGTCCCATGCTTTGTACTCTGGGTCTTGGCGACAAACACGTTCATATGACGCGAAAACCCTTTCGAAACAAGCGTCTGATGACGGCAGAACAGAATTATATCTCTCTCTGATTTCCTCCGGTTTGAGGCTTTTCAAGAGTCGTTGATGCTGGTTGTCTGAAATGTTCCTGATGCCCAAAGCCTTGAACTCGGAGGTGACGTGGGTGTAGATGGCATCCCGTGTAGCTTGAGCTTCGATGGACACTAGTTGCTCTACCCTGGTAAAGCCTTCCGCAATCTTGAGAATGAGGTTCTGGACATCAATCTCTAGACTTCGGAATCCTTGGTTCTGTTTTTGTACTATCGCAGTATCCTGGTCGCTGTTCACACCAAATTGTTAGCAGGCGTTGACGAGGTGGATGGAATACCCACCATATCTTCAACAGAAGCTCTGTTTCCATCACTTCCTTGCACGTCTTTAAGGATTCATTCAACTGATTGAGCTTGGTTTTATGACTTTCCGCGCGAAGAGCAGAATAGACAGCCTTGAATAGTTTGCCCTTTTGGTATCGCTTGGTAAGCGTTTGGGTCTCTTTCTTCAGCTCGGTAGCCACATCGATGCACTCCTGTGAGACTTTGGATAGTGTGTCGCCAACTTGGGTTCTTTGGGTTCCCTGGGGCACTTGGGTGCCACGAGCCTGAATGCGATGGGCCGCCTCCATCATCTTGGTCGAGTACTCCTCAAGCTCGTTCTCGGGGGTAGGCATTCAGTCGTAAATCTTGAGACTGAGGGAAACGAGGCTGCCGGCAAAAGCGATCAACTGAACAACAGCGCTGGCAGCCCCGAGGGCCTCTAAGCCGGTCGCCATGCCGACTACTGTTGGGATGAAAAGTTGGGACCTCTATCTTAAATGAAAAAAAGACTTCGGTAAATTTATTATAAGCTTAGTGGACTTTACTTCAGGGTCAGATGTTTTCTTGCTCCCTGAGGCGGATGGAAAAGTCCGGTGTTGAAAGAAAGTTGAAGTTGGAAGAATTGGGCAGACATTGGGCGACACCCATTTTTCAGAAGGCAGACTGGCAGAATACCACTGCCTCAAAATCTGACTTCATTTACGATGCTGTGCTACATTGTTGCCCAATCAAGTGTGTCGTTTCACGCCCAGTTCACCTTGCAGGATGCCTTGGCTGTTGCTGTTTGATATGGCTGTATTCGGGAAACAAGCTTTACTAAACCCTCTCACCAAGTAAAAAATAACTTTGTTCCTTTTCTATCGTGATTGAAATTATATCATGTATCGAGCAGGAAAAGTCGGTTCTGTTTTTCGCTACAAATGTTATATCGACTTGCTTGAGGATCCAATACTTCCGATATGATCTGACCAGAAGCTAACAATCAGGCTATGCAGTGCAGGCATATAATTGGATGTCTGGGGAATAGAAAACGCTTTGTCTTATAAGCTTCTCTTTCGGTGTCTAGAAGATCATACTACTTACGATATGTCCTCAGCCGATCCTGAAAGCCCTTTGGTCATCATTTCGGCATAAAATTATCAGTCCATAGCCCTGGATAGAAATGAAGTCGAAAGATTTCACCAACAAACCAGTGCTGTAAAACTGCCAGCATACTTTAGATTAAAGCCGCATAGATAATTAATCAATCACCATGCTGTGAATTATAGTAAGTTATCTTGAACTAATGAGTATTAGTTGATAAAATTCTAGCTTTATTAAGCATCGGCAATCTCTTGAATAATGTCAACCGCCCTCTCAAACTTCCTCTTCTCCTCTGAGGAAGGCTGAACGCTGCTTTCCCCCTGGCCGCTTATGTTATCACCATTGGTCCACTGTAAATCCTCGCTCACCCAAGCAATACCAGTATCCAAACCGTATATATCTTCACTACCTGGAGGTGACGCCATAGATATTTCCTTCAAGATACCGTACAACTCATCAATTAGAGCTTCGTTGTCCGCTGCTGCTACAGTCTTTGTTTCCGCGTCTCCGAATTGCCGAGTTATGTACACCTGGAGAGAGTCGTCATCCCCAGTACCTATCCGGATTATCAAGCTTGGTGTAGGAGGAACAAAGCCTCCAGTGATTCCTGGTCAATGCTGTTGGCCATGCGTAGTTTGATTGCATCCAATTCATATAGTTACCCTTTTGAAGCCGAATGTGAGACTCGGATGGCGCCATAATGATACTGTAAAGTGTAAATAGTGTGGTATGTTTGGTTTGAAGAGAAACGAAAGAGGGAGCTGGAGAATCCCTTAGGTTTATACCTCAGCGACCGGCATGCAAGGAGAGATTACTCGTCTTATTCAGTTTTCAGCTGGTAAGTTTCGAGGGGATCTACAGCTGAGCTGCCGAAGCTGGGGCCGATTGGACTTGGTATACAATTCATTGCTTTCTGGCAACCCGCGAGGGACGTGATCACCAGCGAAGAAGCTGAGCTAGACTACATTTTCTGAGACATGCCTTGACCCAAGACGCTATAAGCACTCCCACGTCATCTCCCATGGCCCTATAGAAGCCAGGTATCCATGCATTTGTTGGCTTAAGCCTCGCTCTCAATTGATTTATGTTGATGCATATCGATTTACTTGATTAATTTCTTCCCATCGAGTGCGACATTTGAGGGAGTGTTAGGCACGCATGGTACCGTCTCGTCAGTTACCTCATCTTCTCAGATATTTTTCCTAGCAAAGCCATCGACAACCAGGTTTTCTATACTGTGAGACTGCTCATCCGCCTTGGATTTTGAGGGCAGAGGTGATTGGCCAATCATGGTTAAGCCTTTACACGACGCCACACGAGACAGCCACCTGTTCTACCACAGTATCAAAATTCAAAACACCAAGACCATGACATCGCGATATCGACAAAAAGATATGGATGACCTCATAGAGGCAAAAGAATAAGTTTTACTGCGTAATCAGGGAATCGAACCCTGGGCTCCCCGACGCTGCTCGAATGGCAACGGAGAATTTTACCACTAAACCAATTACGCTTATCTTGTTGGAATCCTTGCGCCGTAATTGAGCTCATGGAGCGTCGTGGCCTGGAAATTATCAAACAGCGAGGGAGCTTTCATCTCGGTTGAGGTCCAGCTTGTGGTGCACGGTCGGTTTGACGAACATCAGGCCTTGTCTTCAAACCGCTTGGTGGCCAGCAACATATCGCAACGGGTCAGTTCTTCCGTGATGACAACCCTTATGTCAAAGATTAGAGATATTAACTTCACAGAATGACAGATTATTGATGCGTACGCTTGATATCCGCAGTCAACTGAAGCTGGAAAGTCTCTTAATTCATCTTTGTTCTCGTACAGGGTAGGCGTACAAGCATGGATCGATCTCATCCGCATATCTCACGAAATTACATCATATCCTTAGGTTCCGCAAATGGCATCTAAGCACGTGCAACAGAGATCTCGATCGAATCTTCAAAAGAACGATTCTTAATGATCACAAACTTGGATAAGCGTCTTTTCCATTGAGTTTCACCGGAGTAAGCCGCCCGGTGCCATCGTCAACGGTCACACCTCATTGGCTGATGAGCGTCAACCGCCCCACAATTACATCAGCGATCGTACCTTGCGACAGGCTCACAAGGGCAGGAACAACAATCACCTGCGTTTTTTTATTCCTGCACCTGCCCAGAAAAGACCGATCTGCCGATATTCGGGCCATCAATCAACTGCAAGCAATCCAATCTTGATGTCTCACCTCAATTGAAGATTGGTCGATCATCTTGGATACCTCATCATTGGCATCAAGGCTTGACTGACTTTCAAGCAAATGCCAAGCTAGAGCCTTGTTCTCATCGTGGCGCGTGTCAGCCCCGCCAAATAAATCTCTCCAGATTCGCTACTCACGTCCTACGTCACCACTCTTCCGATCCCCCAAGGCTTGAGAGGTGATCATCCTCTACAAGCTTTCCCAAGGTCTGAAGAGGCCTTTGGACTGCACGAATTGTTCATCATGGCGCCCTCACGAAGTACCTCCTCGAACGCCGCCGCCAGAGCCATGGCTGTCAATCGAACAGCCTCGTCTGGTTCATTCCATGCTGGCGCGCCGATCCCTACCCTCAGCTCCCTGCGACGACAGTCGCATCGATACCAGACTTTTCCAACCACTCCTCCCAAGACACCTCTCGAACAACCGTACGCTCCGTCGAATGGAAGCGATTCCGAAGATGATGACGATCACGAAGAGACGCCCTTGCCTGTGCGACAGCTGCTGTTGCTGGCGTTTCTCTCCCTTGCGGAGCAGACCGCGCTGAACTCGATATCGCCGTATTTACCTGAGATGGTCCTCAATATGCCCGGTATCCCTGACGACGAAGCTGGTTTATATGTCGGGATACTCGCGAGTTCTTTCGCATTGGCGCAGCTGTCGACCAACTTCCTCTGGGGATATGCCTCGGATGTCATTGGACGCAAGCCAGTTCTGATCATGGGCACGACCGCTCTGATGGGGTGTTTCTGCGTCTTTGGCTTCTGCAAGGAATACTGGCAGATCGTTGTTGTCCATATCGCAATGGGCCTTCTCAATGGAAATGCCGCATGCGTTCCAACAGTCCTGGGAGAGGTTACGGATCGCTCCAACCAGAGCCGCGCTTTCACATACCTGCCTGTCATCTACTCCCTCGGCAGCATCACCGGACCTGCGCTGGGCGGCATTCTTGTCGGCAGGATGGGCAAAGAATACCCATATCTTGCCCCTAACATTCTGTCCGCCGGTCTCCTCGCTCTCAGCGTGATGGTGGTCAGCATCTGGTTCGAAGAGACACTGGACAAGACTGAAGTCAACTTTGAGAAGCCTGCCTGGGTCGAGAAGATTATTTCCTGGTTCTCTCCACCCACACCCCCGCCTCGACGAGCATCTTGGAGCGCGCGCTGGCCTCGATCCCGATCCCAGAACCAGCCCCTTCTTTCCTCCGGACGAGCGCTCGAATCGGAATCCGATGACGAAGAGACTGAGAACGACGACGACGATAGTGATAACAAGGTGGACCCGGCAATGTCCGCATGGAAAGACCTTAGCCGAACCACGATCCTCATTCTGTTCACGTATCTCGTCTTCCAACTCTCGAACATCTCCTTCAACAGCTTATACCCAATCTTTGCCGCTACACCGCCGCCTGCCGGCCGCGACTTATTGCCTAGTAAGATTGGCATCAGTCTGAGTATTGCAGGTTTGGCAAGCTGCATCTTCCAGGCCTTCCTCTTCCAAGCGCTCAAGGTCAGATTGGGTAATCTCGGTACCTACCAAATCTCGCTTCTGGGACTGGGTATCAGCATGCTGCTCATGCCGTGGATTGGATATGCCGACAGCAAGCCTTTGTTTGGCCTGGGAAGCGGCAAGATGTGGCTGTACATCGAGCTTGGTGTTGTGTTGATCCTGAAGAACCTCTGCGCCGTGGGTGGTTTGTCCAGCGTCATGCTTCTGGTGAGTACCCATGATTGCGTGCCATTTACATTACACTTTGCTAACCTTATTAGATCACCAACTCTGCCCCATCGCACTCGAGCCTTGGCAGCCTCAATGGCATGGCGCAAACCCTCTCTGCTCTCGGTCGCAGCTTTGGGCCATTCGTGTCAGGCGGACTCTTCAGTCTTTCCATCAACATCCGACCCAAGGGCGAGGCATTGGCGTGGAGCATCTTCGGCGGTCTGGCCATTTTGGGCTGGGTTTCATCTCTCTTCATCCGTCGCGACGGCCTTGAGAGCGACGATTGGCAAGGCTCGGATGAGAACCTCGCTGAGCAGGAGGCCGACGCCGCGTGAGCTCACTGCGACAAAACAACAACAAAAAACACAATAGACCGGATTGGCATTTAGCATTGGATCGGTGGGGTGCATTTGGGACATGGTCATTTTGACGCACCGTCTGGGCGCATTGGAGAATTGACAGGGCTGCTTTTGAGAGTTGAGCGACGAAGTCACGATGAAGACGTACTACCTTGGGATTTACCTTACATTTGTACAATTGATAAATAGATTCGGAAATTTTGAGTTGGCTTTAAGCTGCCTGATTTGTCCTCGATAGTTTGTATACTCTGACTATGTTTGGTGTACTCGCGTCTGGTGTCATGATTGAGTTCTGGTACGACCAGTTTAAGGTCCGCCTTATTCAGTATCGCAAACCCAGCGCAATGTATTTACATTCGTCTTCTCATCCGAGAACAGCCCGATTGATCTATTGCTCTAACGTGTATGATATCTATATCCCATCTATTTCGCCTCTTCCTTCTTCTCTTTCGCCCTCCTCTCCTCCCTCTCACTAAACCGATCCCCAAAGAGGTCAAAATGCGGCCTCATAACAATAGTATACTTCACAAGCTCCTCCATACAATCGACAAGGCGATCTCGATTTCCACTCGGCAGCATACGACTTCCCTCCTCCTCAGACGTAAACTGTGTATAAGCCTTTGGCACAGAACTCTGATTCGGTATCGTAAACATTCTCATCCAACGTCCGAGAATACGTAAAGAGTTGACAGCATTGAAGGATTGCGAGCCGCCGCTGACTTGCGCGATGGCGAGGGTTCGGCCTTGGGTTGGGCGGACGGAGCCGGTTGAGAGAGGGATCCAATCTATTTGTTGTTTGAAGATGCCGGTCTTGGCACCAAGTCAGTTCTACGGCGTGAGGTTAGAGGATTGAAGGGCTTACCAAGTTTCCATGTTGTTCTGGGCTTATCCAAACGTGACCATCACTCCATTTGCTCAGCTCCCGAAGCTCTTGAACCTTTGGATGGTTGTGTTCAACATCGTCTTTTTGAGGGAGGCCGGCGGGGTTGTAGACTCGAACATCGCAGCCGAGACGGTGGAGGATTCGTGCAGCTTCGAAGGCGAGAAGTCGGGAGTATGACCTGGGAACGAAGTTAGATATGGAATTTGGGAGCTTGTGCCATGGCGATGACGATAGGTCGATAGGCGTGATGGTAGAACTGACCGACTTCTCAGGCTACCGTACAGGACCAGGATGCGCAGACGATCCAGTCCTTTGTTAAGAATCTCCGACTGAACTATTTGAATAGCTGTGCTCAACTCCAATTCTGCAACCCAATCATCCTTTATGTACTTGTCTTCAAGAATAAACGGGCGGTATTTCTCTCGGATTTCAGAAACGTCATCGGAAGGGTCAATGGCGAGGGATCGATAAGCGTAGGCTGGGTCGGGGGTCAGCTCAACTGCCGTCCTCCCAGCGTGGGAGTTATTTAGATCGCCATGTCCGTTCATCGTCATAAGAGAGGCAGGGTGATAGAACAAATCTCTGTTTGTAGTCGAAAAGCGACAGCGGTTCCCAAAAGGTTTGTAGACTTGGAAGCTGGTTGCACAAGCGCGAAGTCGAAGAGATTGACGAGGGAGGGCCATTCTGACGGCAAATTTCTAGGGTTACTTCCCAGACTTGATGCATTATGAACTAATAATTAGGCTTTTTGACAGGTGCCCTGTGCGTCAGACTTTTTAAGGGTCCAAGTGCGAAGCCAGGGCCTGATCAATCATCTCTTGGGCATGACAGGGTCCCCGATCACTCAATCTTGCTGGTGACCAATCATTGCTCGGGTATGACAAGGTCCCAACCACGTCCAAGTTAAAGCACTATATTCACCTTTGAATGTCCCAGGAATTCTAATAGTGAGAAACATTTGGACGTTTAGTTTACACTTTGATCAAGATGCCCATTACTCAATGTCAAGAAGGCGTCTAGTAGCATGCTCTGAAGAGCCTCTACGGCAAACGGAAGAATATTAATAAATATGTGGAGTAGCGAATAGACATCATCAAGTTAAGCATTTCCCACTTCGGAGCTTGGCTGAGTTGTTGTTCGTACAGTTTCAGATGCGGCTGAGACATCAACACGTGAAGAACAAATCCCAATCAGGCAGTGGCTGCCTGATTTCCAAAGTACGAGGCTGTGTTTGATACGTGAGGTTATTGATGATTGGGAGAGACAAGGGCTCCGGCAATCAAGGGAAGGTTTTTAAACTACTGTAGAAGAC